GGGTTTAGGGTTTAGGTGTTTGGGGCCTTGAGGGTTTAAGGCTTTGCAGGGGTTTTAGGATTTTGGTGCTGCAGACCGGACATATCTGCTTTGAAGTTCAGACCCACCCAAGCTCGGGTTAAGTCGACCGGGGCGCATGCTCGCAAGCTTGATGCCATGTAGCTAAACCCTAAACCCTAAACCCTAAACCGCTCTTGTGCCAGGTTTTGTTGCTAGATGCGGCACCTCCAGAGGTTCAAGCGCAGGGCTGGCATGGGCCATCATATCGGCGAGATACGGCTTTTTTGTCGGTTGAAGTTGTTTCGCATTATTGCTGCTTTCGCCGCGTGTGCCGTTGCCGCTGGTGTTTGTTGTTGTTGTTGTTGTTGTTGTTGTTGGTGGTGGTGGTGGTGGTGGTGGTGTTGTTGTTGGTGGTGGTGGTGCTGGTGGCGGTGGTGCGCTGCTTACTGCTGCTACTGCTCCTGCTGCTGCTGTTGCTGCTTTTGCATTGCTGCTACTGTTCGATCTCTCTTCTTGCTCCTGCTCGTGGTTTTGGTGATGGTGGTGGTGGGTGTTTTCCTAGTCCTGATTTCCAAAGCTAGAAGCTTCAAAGCTTAAATCTGTGAGGACGGTGCGTCTACTTCCAGGCGGATAGCCAACCTTCGGGCGGCTTAGCTGGAGTTGGATATTCATCCCGCCGTCTCCCGAAGCCTGAACCCTACTCGGATTTTTTTAGATTTTTTGGACCCGAGGCAAAAAACTTTCAAGAACGTGCGGGGTATCAAATGCTTCTGGACGACAGGTAGGGATTGCGAGAGGCTTCAAAGATACTTCGGCAACTTCGGCGGGGTGCAAAAAGCATTTACCGTTGCTGGATACAAAGGGTTCCTGCATGCGTCCCAGGCAGACCTTGACGCTATGAAAGGGGACATGAAAAGCATCCAGGCTGGTTGGGTGCTGTCTCGACCGTCTGCTGTGGTTTTTCCGTCCTGTACATTCTGTATGTTTTGTTGGGGGCGAGGTGTTCGTTTCAGCCGAAGCATTCTGTCCGTCAGCCACAGCTCCGTGGCCGTGGCCCACACTGTATGCCGCCCCATCAGGAGAGCATGTCGATGCTGATGAGCCTGCTGAACATCCCTGTCCAACTCCAGGCAGCCTCACACTAATGGCATTGCCTGGATCAGCGGATGCGTTTGTTCTCATGGTGCGCATTCTTAAATAGCTTTTTCTTGTTTTGCTCTCCAGGACAGTGATCACAATCCCAAGTTCGGCGAAGGCTTCCGAAGACTGGCGGGAAGTGTTGGGGTGATTAATATTCAGACATAGCTAGGGACTCATCGTTCACGGCTTACAAAGAGGCAAGCCTGGAGATGAGGATTGGTAAACTCTCATGGTTGGACATGCATGCACGGCTAATTATGCAGATCAGTGAAGGTGCATTCCAGTCTCACCCTCTCCTGCTCGCCCTCCCCTCCGTGCATTCCACGTTCTGACGCTTTCCTTTGCGTGTGTCCTAACATTTGTCACTATCTTTCTTGTCTTATGTTCCTTTCTCTCTCTGTATGATCTTTCCGAGCCTTGCTGAACAGGTTTTGGCACGTGCCTCAAGCCCACATCATACTGCATCACATCTAATTCCTCTGACTCTCAGCCTCGTACACCTCCTACGGTTGATGAAATAATTCCTGCATGACCCATACTAATAAGGAGTATACCATAATTCCCATAGTTTAGGGTCCTTAAGATAATGCAGGATTTCTATCATCAGCAGTAGGTTGCCTTCCCATCAGGTCTACGGCAAGCCGGCATGTCCGAGTCGATGAGCCTGTCGGTGTGGCAGCCCGAGCTCTGGGTCCAGAGTTTAGGGTTTAGGGTTTAGGGGTTTAGGGTTTAGGGTTTACATGCCCTTGAACTGTCGCTGAAGCTAGGATCCCTTACCGTGGTTTCTTGTCTCTCCCTGTTCTACCTGCTTCTCTTGCTTGTGACTCAGGGTCACAGCTGCGTTTTGCCGCCATTTTCTTGCTCGTTCGTTTGACATGTCGGTCGGACTTGCTTGCCCGCTGCGGAACACGCTGCGATGGCAGACTTTAACAAGACGCTTCGAATTCAGCAGGCAGCAGCACGTGCCAGGTGTTGTTCGTTGTAGAGGTTCACGGCAAAGCAGAGAGCTGACGGCATACCACGTACAAGTCGCACGAAGCAGTCATCTCCAGGAAATTCATATTCTGTCCGCCCACAGAACGGACGTTGAGGTCAGCGAGATGATGGCATGTTTTCAAGCATAAACCCCGAGCCAGCTGTTTTCGCCTGTGGGCAAGCTCGTTTGTCTGAGTCACCGATCGATTCACCTGCTGCTCAAAGCGTCATCATTTTCTGGATCAGTCCTCGTATGCTCCGTTGGATCCCGTCGATACTGGTCTTCCTTGTCCTCCACCCATTCCATGCCACCGTTGGTTTGTGGCCTTGAAGCCTTAAAGATGAGGCGACGATCCATGAGCCACAGTAGTTATGTTGATAACATGATTGCGGAGTATGGTATGATGATGGTATCGTCGATGATCATGCTCCTGGCGACGTCGATTCAACTGTGGCGATGATCAAGGATTCTGTCATGGAATGATTGCCATTGCACCCGAACCCTAAACCCAAAGCTTTACTCCCTAACTCCTTCTTGCTCATTCACGGGTAGGAACAGTTGCTGTAAGTATACGGGAGCCGCAGACAGCAGTACTCCTGTATATCCAAATCTCACCGTCATAACTCATAGCCCCAGTTGATGTTGATATTCCTATGATTACTATCTATTACTATGTATTACTATAATTACTATATTACTATATATCACTCTATATTACTATGTATTGCTATAATTACTATATATTGCCCTGATTGCAATCATTACTTCCACGACGTCTCATATTCTTCAACTCGGGGGTTCGAATCGAGTGAACCAGTTTGCTCCGAGGCCTACCGCGTCCCTGCCGGGCTCTGTTGGTCTTCGTTAGCGGAATCTCAGACCTCAGTGGTCTGAATGCGTCAGTCGATGGTCATGAACCCGGTTTGTAATTATTGGCGACTCTTGAATCTTAAGCCTGAAGCCACGAGCACGCTTACAACCAAGACTGCACATAGTAGGAAGCCCCACACCGGGCCGATACGACTGCCCGCTGTGCTGTCGTTGCGCTTCTGACTAAATCGTTATTGCCACGAGCAGTAAGACTACTGGCACCATGTCTGTGCTTATTCTCATCAGTGCTCCTCTATTCTTGCCAGAGTTTCTCTCAGCTTGTTCGTGTTGTTCCTCTCCGCAGCTGCTAATTAC